TCCTGGTGTCAGAAAGAAAAAAATAAAATTATCGGCAAATTTTCTAACAAAAATGAAAGAAACTGTCGAGTTTATCTTTTAGAATTTATTTCCTTCCCTTTTCACCATGGCTTCTTGAACGAGTGATGTAAAGAGATATCCAATCTAGCTGCACAAGTCTGTACCGGCCAATGATTCCTAACAGTGATCACGATCACGGCATTATCGATACTGTTATTCATTGTCGACAGGATTTGGGCACAAACGATTTTAATTTTTACTTCGGTTTTTTTGATTTTTTGAATTTGATATTTTTATTGATTCAAAAGAAGTTAAGTGGTTGGTGTAATATAGGGTCCAGTTTTCATTATAATTGTGCCATATTTTCTTCGATTTTTTGCACTTACTTTAAAGCCTAAGAAAATAATAGATAACATTCTTTCTTTACAATTTCCAAAACGATATCAGTTGTAACATGTAGATTAAAGAAAAACTAATTACAATAAGAAAATATTTATTATATTTAAACATATAATTATTAAAACCTTAAGCTTTAGTTCAAGGACCTCTTAATAAACATAATTACATTTCTTATACAAATAACCTTAACCAAATTATATAATAAATAACAAATAATTTTCAAAAATAAATAAACCTTCTCCTATTCTTTTCAATTTTATATAAAAATATTTTCTTTAATCCATTCAAAAAAAAAATAAAAGGGTATTCCTTGCAATGTCCACTATCACAATCAATGATATTAAGTCGGTATATAATAGCACAAAATGCCATATTAATTTTTATTGTTATGAAAATAAACTTTAATGCTACTGTCGTCTGAATAGTAGCGAGACAGTATATAAAAATAAATCAATAGAAAATAATCTATAATAACGGTATTTGATATTTTGTAAAAAATACGGTTTTTGAACCTTTTTTTTTTTTGTTGTGGCCCCAAAAATTTTTAATATGACCTTTTATAGATTTTTTTATTATTATTATTCTTTTATATTTCATTTTTCTTTTCGGTAATTAAATATCAATGAAAAATTAATATGCATAAAAAAAAATTAAGATGTGGTGACATCTGATGTGAAATTATTAAAACTTTTTCTTTGTTTTTTTTGTTTGCTTTTTAATTTTAAGATTAAAAAAAAGAAGGTGTCAACGGCAACCTTTATTTTTTTGTGACTTTTTCTTTCTTCTTGGGTGTATTGAAATGATTTTGCTTTGAATACTTATATTTAATTATGAAGAGGAATTTCATTTAATAGATTAAAAAGAATAAGAAAATTTAAGCTTTCTAGGATACAAGGAACTACGAATAATTCCCGAAAGCCTAGCAAATTTAAAATTTAATTTTAAAAGAAAAAGAAAACTGTTCTTAGTATTTGCGTTCCATTTGCGTGTTTAAACTACTCATGGGCGTATATGCTAAGTTTGTAAACGGAAGGGTCTTTCGCATTAAACCGAGTAAAACATAAACTTAATTTAACCATTTTTTTTCATATAATTTATTTATTTTTTGTTCATATGCCAAATAACGCCGAAAACACACTATTGTAAATTATAGAAATGCCACCTCCATTTATCGGAAAAAAATAGCATAACAGCATAGAACATCTACGCATTTGTTCGAAATAGTGCAGTTGTGTTCAATTGTTACTACTCATGCGATTAGTTTGAACACGTAAATGGAACGCAAAACAGTGTTGCCTACAATTAAAAAACTATAATAAATTCTTTCGCGTAATTTTTTATGTGAACACAATAAAGCGTTAATTTTGTATTGATTGCAATTACTAGTGTTATATTTACAAACTAAAAAGAAACGCTGCAAAAATAAAAACTGTGCTAAATAAATAACTCAATTGATATTTTCAATGACATTGACAAAAATTTTTTTGGGGTTACCCAAATTTTAACTAACATACCGAAAAAAAAAGGTTTCTTAATTCTATTAACACTTTCAGTTGTTTTAAATTTTTTTTGAAATCACATGGAGTAAAAAACAAAATTTCGAATTTCTCAAATTATCTTACTAATTAAAAACAAATATATTATAAATTGTATAGGCTATTGTGAATTTCGAACATATTATTTGCACTTCTTATAGTATAAGTGTATTGCTACTTAACTTATAGATTTTGTGTGTATTTTAACACGAAAAAATTTCGTATATTATTTAAATAAATAAAGTAAATAAAATAAATATACATAAGTAATTATGTATCACTATTTTAAAATTATTTACTAAACGCAAATACGTTACTTGAATATTTTCTATATAAAAAATTATAACAATTTTATGATGAATAACGATGAAGTTATTCTTATAGTTTATTCTCGCCTTGAAAGTGTGTAAGCCACTTTGTATATACGTATGTGGTCAGCAAGTCTAAATATTTAAATAAATTTAATAAAATTTATAAACTCTTTCTTTACGACTGTAGAAAGGTCAAGTAGACAATTGCAAATTCATTTAACATTAAGGAATTTAACATCCTTTTTTTAAAAAAATTAATTTCTAAGAATAAAGAATCTTGATCATTATATTTAAATGTAATACGAATCTTAATTGTATTCCTTTCTTAAATAGATGACATTTTCGTTCTCAAATTATTTTTAGTATTTAAAAATGAATTTTTGTATTCTATATCAAGTCTATATCAATAATGTATCTATAACAATAAAATTTAATTCATCCCTTTTTAAATTCATTTTAGGTTGTTGAGACTTCAAATTATTTGTAACAGTTTACTCACTGAACATTGTCTCTTAATATATGGTCTGATCTGAAGAGGATGAGCGAAATGAAAATATTTGCCGAATTTATCTGTGATAGAACGAGAAAAACTTGTGCTTAATGTGTGATATGCAAAATGATTCCAAAAGAGGTTTTTGGCACCGTCGAAATTTTTGATGCGGCAATAATGACGCAATTAATTTCAATGATGTTGTACTGACGTGGTGAATGTAACCGAATTTCATTCAGAAATTAAATAATTTTAAACTTTGTGCTATTGAGCCGTAACAGCAATAACAGCAACATTTTATTACAAAGAAGACCCTATCAAAACTTAACCAAAGAAAATCCTACCAAATCTCAATTTTTTCATTTAAAAATTCAAATATCTTGTAATTCACATGAAAATCTACTGAGTGAATAATCCAGATTTCAAATCAAATTAAATGTAATTCAAATTATCATAAAATTTATTTCTATAAAAAATCCTACTAACCTTAACACATAAATTATTCATATTCATACAGAAAATACGAATTCACACAAAAAGCCGGTAAAATCTTATTTGCTTTTTTTTTTCTTTAAATATTTTGAAATGAGCTTAAAATCATTTGTTACCCTACAACTTATAAAGTTTATTACCAAATTATAAACTACTCATATATAAATCATAATGTTATATAAAAAATCATAATGTTATATACAAATTCAAAAAACAACAAGTCTTATTTATCTAAAATTTAAATTTTAAATTATAAATTTTACAAAAATTTTTCAACAAAAATCATAAATTTCAAATGCTTATACAATAAAACTTCAATAATTCGAACTGCGTAAACTATTAGAAATTACTTTTTCCTCACAGAGAAAAAAAAACTGCTTAACTTCAAATTTCAATTTAAAATTCAAATTCGAAATTTTCCATTTGACTCTCTCATTCTCTCTAAATTTGAGTTTTCAAATCTTTCTCAATTAATTGGCATTAGTTGAAATTCAAATCCAAATTAAATAAGTATTTCTATTCTATAAATTATTCGAAGATTTTTCAGAAACCCAAAATCACATTTTCGGCAAATTCTAGTTCTAAACAAATTTACCCGACCCAGTGTGACCATTTAAAAACTACGAATCAGAGTTTTGTGTTCTTATTGAACTCTTATGCTTTTTCAATAAAAAACATTTAAACCTCACCAAAGCATAAACTATTAATTAAAATTTGCCATTATTACAGAATTATTTATAAATTTTGCACTAAATAACGGAAATGAAGAAGTTGCCGTTCTTGATGCACGGAAATTTCAAATTAATTCCCATTTAGACGGCGTACTTGTACAAGCTAGTAAATTTAAATTAAATTTTAAATGAAAGATGAAAAAACTCTCACGTTTTTTGGAATTTACACAATACAAAATCTCTCAAATTCCTCACATTATTAATATTTCAAAATTTACAGTGTTTACATCTATAAAAAAAATCTACTGTAAATAACTTTAAAAGTAGGTGAATTTAAAAATTCATTATCAATTTGCTTGGTACATAAAATTGACTTTGTGCGTATGTATAAAACTATTTTTTTTTTTTTTTGAAATTTTAAAATGTGAACTAGAAAATATGTAGCTAATATTGTTTCACTATTTATAATATTTTCATATTATTGTTTATTTTAACATTTATTATGGAAAACAATAATATTGCATAAAATTTTTTAAGCATAATATTTTTTGGTTTCACAAATTTTATTCCATTTTGATTCCATTTCATACCATTAATCTTTACCATTACTAAACTATTTGGATATGTATATTTTAGCATAGTATATAAATTTACAGTTACACCTATTTCTAACATGTTTCGTATATATGAATATAAATATTTAATTGTAATTTTTATACATATATATACGAAAAATAATAACAAAATTTCCACGCGCATCATTATTATTCATAAAATCATGTAATATTTTTACATTATATAAACCTAAATGTAGGTGTTTATCATTAAAAAATAATATATATAATATTATATTGTATATAAACCGTAAAATAATAAAATACCTATAATATTAATAAAAATATTCAAAAATTTTGAAATATTTTTTTTTTTGAAATTTACATTCATAATTTCTCAGAAATTTTTTAATGCTACATAAATATATTAAAGAAAATAATATTATTACTGTAAATGTTATATAATAATATTGCATAATTTTAATATATTAAATAATATTTATAACAGTTTAAAAATAACAAATATAAAAATTTTTTTATAAACTTACCGTTATGAAAAATATACGATACTTCATTTTTTCTAATTTATTTTTCTAAAATTTGTTTTATTTTCGATTAATTTCAAATTTAATATAATTAAATATGATGTTTATATTATCAAGTTTATTATTCCATAAAATTAATTTTGTAAAAAAAAAAAATAAACAATCTATTTTATATCGAAAATCTAATTAAAATATCAATCAAAATATTGACAACACTGTTAAATAAAAAATTGTATTTATTTTATAAATCTTTTATCGTAATTTCACTTACTGTAAAAAAAAATATATAATATATATAATATAAATTTTAATCATTATCGTAAAAAAATTAATAATTTAATTTTGAAAAATTAATAATAAAATTTAATAAAAAATTTTATTATTTTAATTATAATTTCAATTTTAACATTAAAAAATTAATTAATTTCGATTATTTGTGTTTTTTTTTTATTTTAATTATAATATTAATTTATTATATTATTATTTATAAAATTTTAATAAGTTTTATTTTCACTATAAAATTCAAATATTTAAAAGATCAAAATCACAATTTTTTTTTTTCAAATTTTTACAATTAAAATATAAAAAACAATTGTCTTTCTTTTATTTTAAAATTATTGCGGTGGGTACAATTTTTTTTTAATTCTTAAACAAAATTAAAATAAATTAAAAAAATATACAAAAATTATTTAAAAATCCAATTATGATCGAGTGTGTGTGTGTTTATTAAAATAAATAATCATGTGAAAAAAATTCTTTTCGTTTTTTGCCTTTTAATTAATGAACATCAGTTTTCTTAGGCCGTTCTTAATAGACTGAAGACGATTCAAATGAAATCATTGAATTTATATATCGTAAAATAAGTACAAAAACAAAAAGAAAAGACTGAACAACAAACAAAATTATTGAGCGAATTGAAGAAAAATCGCGTTCAAATTCATTTCGGTCTTACTAGCTGTTTACGCGAATAATCTGAATAATCACTATACTGCGGTGTGCGGTGTACGCACTCAGCAAAAAATGCTATGTCAAATTTATACAAAAAATTCTTAAATTCAATTTTTTTTTTTTGTAAAAATTCACACAAATATAAAAAAAATAATTTTATTTATTTTATTTAATTTTTATTCTTTTTTTTTTACTTTTTCGTTTTATAAGACGGAATTTTTATTTTTTGAGAAGAAGATCTACAACGTTTGAGATCTCACTAACTATTATTTGATAATTAAAATAACTTGTGATATTTAACTTTTTTTTTCGAAAAAAAAGCAAAAGTAAAAAAAATTTTTTTTTTTGGGATTCACTTCTATTTTTTATTTTGTATTTGTTTTTTTCTCTTTTTGTTTTTCTTATTTTTTAAGTTCACTTTTCTCATATACAAAACGTTTTCTGTCTTTTATTATTTTTATTTTATTCTTCTCATTTTCGTTTTATTTTATATTTATATGTATAACGCTTTAAAAGCCATCATCATCTTTTCTTACAATCTTTTAACCAGTTCAGTTCAACAGGTAACAATATAATGTTACAATATTTTAACCTACCTATATTATACATTTAAGTTAAATCCTATGCCTGTATTACAATATATGTAGATATAGGAGACTATGCTTTATGTATCGCGTTCACATATTTATAATAAATGCATGTTGAATACCATCCAAGAAAAACATTGTATTACTTTTATAAAAAATTTTCAATTTTAATTGTTAATAACAATGTTGCTCGAATATTTTCGTTACATTCCATTGACATATCAAGAGGAGGAGCTTGGAACTGCTTTAAAAGCACAATAACAGAAATTTTCAGAACTTCAGCAATTTCAGAATCTTGACATTTAAAAATCCACAATTTCAATCTTCATTTTCCATAAAACAAAATTATCTCTATCCCCCTCTATGGGATCAAATTTGCGTTCACTAATTTTTTAAACTATTTTTTTGTTAACTTTAATTCACGGCTGCTGCAATTGCATACCTTGTAGAACCTAAAAGAAAAAAAAGAAATTTATTATATTTTACAGTTGCAAAAAACAATTTTGTGTTTTTTTTTGTTTAATTCGATTAAATTTTTCAGTTTGGGAATTTATTTTGTATACAAAACGACATCTCTTCGATAATGAAAACTAAATGTCACTATAAAAATATCATACATACGTTTCAAGTTTAAGTACACTACTCTACCATGGTATAAGAGAGTACTCTCTTTTCAGCAGGTTGAGAAACAAATATAAAGTAAAACAGCACAAATTTAAAAGTGATTTTAATACAATATCCTATGATGGCATCGATATTTCATTATAATACAATAATGAGAACACTGTCTATATAATGATGAGATGCAAATTGAAAATTATGATGATATTGATGATGATTATAATGATGATGATATTTTTGATCATATACATATGGTATACCAGTGATTGACAATGATTAATCAACATCATTACTAAATTCACTTTTATTTTATTAATACTTTTAATGTATTGCTTTAAATATATTAATGAATGCAATGAGCAATATAATGATCAAAGAACTTTTTATCTATCTAACAGTAGAATTACAGAAAACTTAGTAATACACGCACAACATACACATAAACATCATGTAAATGTGTATTTTGAAATGGTGAGCTTTACAGCAACAAGCATAAACACATGGCTACACATAAGTACATTCTAATAAAGCTATAAACAAAAGTTCAATAGTTAGTATTCTAGTATAGATGTCGCTTAGATCAATGTGTACTTAACAATTAACATATCGATGTTCATATACTTAGCTAAATATGTAGTTATAAACGGTTATAGGTGAGTATATTAATTATAAAATTGTGTGTGATTCAAAAAATAAATTAAGTTTTTGTCTAGGCTTTCAAATCGTATTTATTCATTTCAGTTCATGCAAAAACACACATACAATATTGTGTAAAATTATTGTTATAAAAAAGTGTGTAGGTCGTGTATATTTTTTTAAGCTGAACTTGAGAAAAGTTCAACAACAATAATAAAAGTTTTAGATTTATTACAAAACTTGTTAATATGTCTAATGATGACATAAAATGACGTCATTAAAATGAGATTTTGTTTTTGTTGAAGTATAAATTATGTTGGACGCCAGAAAATAGAACGGTGAAAATGTTAATTAATTTTGTTCTGTTACAATTCTAAATTAATTATTTTTTTTCTTTATTTTGTAGCGTTACTTTAAATTTAAAAGGTGTTAAATGTTTACCGGTATTAAAATGGTCAATTAAAAAATTAACAAATTTTTAGTTTCTTTTTGTTTTTAACAAATTTAGTTAACAAATTTAATTTGACATTTAAGTAAATGACAATACTTTTTGATTCCTTGTTTAAAAAGTAGGAAAAATGACAGCCATAAAATACTGACAGACATGTGAGTTTTTAACTAAATGATTTCATTGATTAATTGTAGAATTTTGAAAAAATACAAGATATACGGATTTTTTAATTCAATTTTTAATAAAAAGTGTTAATTGATTGTTTTCTTATATAAATTGTGAACATATAAAAATATATTATGTAAATCAATTTAAAATTAAAGATTAAAAAAAAAATTTAAAATAACCTTGAAAGGAAAAAGGTTTTTGTATTTTTTCTTGAAAGAAGAACGTGATTTTAGTTAAATTGTGTAGAAGGTACAAAAATTGTTTAGTGGACGAGAATTTGTTTTTGTAAATTAATTGTATTATATAAACATAATGGTCTCTCTGATTTAATCATTTTGTTTTGCATTTCAATTTTTTTGAAGTTACGGAAATTTTAATTTTGATTATCTATAATAATAATTAATTAATTTTAATTATTAATAATTTTATAGAATAAAAAATATGTATAAATTAATTATTACTTTTCAATATTGCAGTTATCACAGTGTTGTTTTTAATGTTGTTTGACTAAAAACTATAATTTGAATTCGTTGTCAAGAGAAATTGCCACATATTAGTCTCATCAAAATTTACAAACAGTTTATTATTCACTAAATGCATATACCGCAACCTGAAAGATAAAATATAAAAATTCAATAGCAATAAAGCAAAATTTCTAAAAAAAAAAATAGTTTGTAGTTATTATCTAGTTTAATTATTTAAAGTTAATTTCTGAAACAATAAGAAGAACTCTAAGTTAATAAAATTACAATAATGTGAGAATTCTCACTGGTTTTCTAATGCAGCACTGTAGACTTAAGAAACACCTATGCAAACTAGGCTTAGGAACTGACGGGCCTTGCAAATTCTGCTTGGAATGGAAGGAAAACTTGATGCACCTTCTCAATGACTATGGAGTGTTGATCCATAAGAGCAATGACTGCTTGAGTAAACCCTCATTGCTGGACATATCGTATATAATATTAGAGTTAAATTTTGCGACAGGCTTACTGCTTAAATTGAATTAAATTTTACAAGATTATATAGACTTGAATTAGAAGAGTGCAAATACTATTACATCTTGATTCCGAGTCAAATCATCCACTTCTATATAATGTATACTAAAACGAAATATTTTAAATAAATTAATGCAGTTTTATATTAAATTAATGTTAAATAATTTAAAATATTTTTATTAGCAAAATATCAAATATTATAGAAAATAAAGTATTATTTCATTATTTCAGATATTAAAATATTGATAATTTAGTTTGTTTACAGTACCTTCAACGTAACCATAAAATATAACCATTTAATTATAATTATCTACTATATACTACATACGTGAGAATTTTTTTCAATATTACCTTCATTTACATTACATAATGTAAATGAAAATTTAATACAAAAGCAAATATAAAGTATATTAAAACTTTGTTTGAATTTCGTTACAATTTTGACTTTAATTTTGTAAATCTCAACCTATTACGCAACGTAATTTAATTTTGTAAATCTCAACCTATATAGCTACGTGCAAAATATTGCAGTATATTATTTGAATAACAAAAAAGAAACTTTATCAATAAAAAATTTATAGATTTATGCACAGCTTGCGAAATTAAAAAAAAAATTGTATGAATATTTCGATAATGAATCAATAATATTGAATTTGCGTTATAACGTAAAGGAAAATTAAAATTTTATTTGAGAATTTTTTAGAAAACAAAACCATATTGTACCAAATGTTTCCACGGAATTCGTGGAAGTGAATTAAGAAAAAAATAAATTAATTCTATTGAAAATTTAAGAGAAAACTTTTTTCTTTCTTTCTTTAAAAACTTTTTTTTTTGCATAATTAAACGCATGAAATGTGTGAGCTCCACATTATGTTTAAAGTAGAATATGTACGTGTGAATTTTTATGTATATTAAGCATAAATTTTCAAATTACATCCTTTTTATGGTTACGGAAAATAAAATATTTATGTACATGCTTGATTTACTGAAAATTTATTAATAATTTGAACTTTTAAATTTTTCCTCTCCAGTTCCAAAATTAAATGAAATGCCTTGTATAAATGAAGGTAAGAGTTTTTAAATTGTAATATAATTTTTGAAAAGTTCTTCTGTTTTTTCTTAAATTTTTGAATTTTCTCACAACAGAGTATTCAAAATTGAATTTATTCTCTTGAATTTTAAGATTGAGCATTTTCTTACTGGCAAAGCAGAATATAATTTCTTTTATCAATCAATGTTCTTTTTGTTACCGAATCGAAATTAAGGTTTGATGAGACCGAATTCTTTTCCATATAAAATTGCAATGCACAATGGTAACAATTTGTGATAGTTCATTTTTTAATGATGTGATTGGAAAAAACATGATGACATTCCTCATAGATGGCATTCTAAAAAAAAAATGAAAATGAAAATATGAATAATTTAACAATTTAATTTCAAAATATTATTGTGAAGGGTCTGTCTTCAGATGTCAGTAGTGAATAATTAAGTCTGTATCAATAAAGGATCTATGGAGGATTCAATAAAAATCCCAAGTAAATCTTAAAAAAATTTCTAATTATACACAATACGTTATTCTCGTATACATATATATGATTATGTAGTAAATCAACAAT